AAAAATAGACAGGAATCATAAATATATATCATTGTTTGGGAGGCAGGGCTGGGAGGAGCTCAGTGGTACAGCACATCCTAGTGTGAGCAAGGCCCTGGGTTCGATCCCTGTAACAACAACAACATTCCTTCAGTGTCCTTCCTGAGGGTCTCCCTACATCCCTTTGCAGCCAGAAATGAGTACCTCCTGGCAGCCTTCTGGGAGGCAGCCCAGAATCCCAACTCCATCTTACCACAGAGGAGTAGGGCTCGGGGCCAGCTGGTTCTATTTATAAAAACCATGGCAATTCTTGGGACGGAGGCCAATTTTGGGTTGACAATCCACAGGAAGAGATACCTGTTAATCAAGATAGCAATAAACTGGGTCAGGCACTGTGGAGCATGCTTGTAATCTCATGAGTTAGGATGCTGAGGCAGGAGGATCACAAGTTCAAGGCCAGCCCCTGCAACTTAGCAAGACCCTATCTCAAAAAAGGATGTATGTGTGATGAGGTAGTTCAGGGGTAAAGCAACCTGGAGTCCATCCCAGTAACCCCCCAAAAATAATGATCTGGGTGTGCCACCCAGAGACTCAATACCCAGTATCCCCCCTACACACGCAAAAAAAAAAAAAAAAAACACTCCAAGAAGTAATATAGAGTGATTTAAGGGGCTGGGTTACTGCAATGATAGAGTGCTTGCCACTTTCTAGCATGTATGAAGCCCTGAGTTTGATTTTTGGCACTACATATTAATAATAATAATAACAACTATTATTATTATTATTTAGAGTATACAGGAGGTGTTTCAGGAGGATGAGGAAGGAGGATTGCAAGCTCAAGGCTGGCCTGGGTAGTGAGACTCTGTCTCAAAAATAAAAATTAAAAAGGGCTGTGTTGCTCAGTGGTAGAGCACCCTGGATTCAATCCCCAACACAACACAAAAGAATAGAAACAAAGTATACAGGGCTATGTGTACACAAAAACTACCCCCCCCATTGAACCCAGGAGCGCTTAACCTCTGAGGCACATCCTCAGAGCTTTTTTATATTTTATTTAGAGACAGGGTTTTGCTGAGTTGCTTAGGGCCTCCCTAAATTGCTGTGGCTGGCTTTGAACTCTCAATCCTCCTGCCTCAGCCTCCGAGTGTGATTTACCTTGTTTTACATAAAGGGCTGGAGTGTTTGAGGATTCTGGAAGCTACAGGGTCC